CTGCAAACGGTCCGCAAGGTCCATGAACCATAAAATCAGAGACTGCTTGAAAATACTTAGGATCCAAATCTTTATCAGGGAGTTCAGCAGAAATCATTTTGTCAATCACTTGAGGAGTTGGATTTTTGCTCTGTTGGCCCAAGAATAATAATATATGCGCATGCGGTAATCCTCGCTTCTGAAACTCAATGGTATAAACAACTGCATTCAAAAATAATTTTTAAGCGTCAAAAATTAATCTCTCGGGTGCAAGTGTTGATGTAAAGTAGGAAAAATGAAGTTAGTGTATAGTACCTTCACGAACTATTCCAAAAAGTTGTTGCTTGTGCAGTTCTTTAATGAGCTTATTTAATATCATATGGAAAACTCTGCAACATATATTCGGACGATCTTGAGGACTTAGATTTCTTTTTTCAAGAAATCGAGTGATTTCTGGCCACTTTGGATTGCATGTAAAAGTCAAGAATAAATCAGGATAGCCAGCCCATCGACATATTGCCATAGCATCTTGATAGTTCTGTATCATGTAACGTGCACCAACAACAAACGTTGACGGGAGAACTACTCTCTTACCTGTGGCCGAAGCATCAATGTCCCCATGGAGTAGTGAGTCTGACAGACGATTATACATCTCACACTGGAGCTTCTTCTGGTGGGTTCTTATCCATAATAATCGTAATGACTCCATCATGGTATATCCATCCACAACTATCTCTTGAAAAAGCTTTCTTGAATATAAAATGAAAGGATTTTCATTTTTGCGCTCATGAAATCTAAAAGCAAGAAACTCTCTAATGCTAACGTTTCTTCGGCCCCCACTACCAATGCTTGCTTCATTTGAAAATGGAATGTCCTCTCGAGAACCATCATCACCATAAGGGAATAATAATGGATATTGCAATCCTAAGTATGCGGGGTTCAACTCGCTTATGATCTGAGTAGATCCACCTAGGGTCTCAACCAATATGTCTCGTTCCCCTAACGATTGATCAAAATCACCAACGACCAACGCAGCTACCTCTGATGCAGTTGGTAAATTATATCTTCTAGGGTCGGAGTTTCGTTTACATATCAACCTCAGTCGAAAAGTAGTATCACACCCGTGCAAGTACATTTCAATAAAAATATATTGATATTAAAGTTATATCATAATACAATATATTTTTTTGACATGTCAAAATCAAAGTTTACAAACTTTGACTTTGAAAAGTGAAATGAGAAGAACATCTCCAAGCAAGGAAAGTACAAGTTATATATTTCTCACGGCACTGAAATATTGCCTCATTTACTATTTTGACATCTTGATAATTTTTTTATCTGTGTATTTTCATTGGTCATTTGATAAAATAAAATATTCTTATTGCACTTTGACCACTTACAAACTTTTAATTTAGTTTTGAAATATGTAATTTGTACTTTTAATTTATATCTCAATCTTTATATTGTACGGAGTAATAAAATCATTTTAGGCCTGTCACGACCCGTATGTTCCGTTGTGGGTCCGCCCCTGAATGGTAAAAATCCAAGTTCAAATTAGGCTTTGGCTGAAGCCCCATGAATAATGAAGACATAAAAAAATCCTAATGTTATGAATTAACGATTACTTAAGCCTTGTTTCTGAACAACATCTTTGATTAGCATTAGCGTTTTGAATAAAATTTTAACGGTGTAGATTAATTCTGAAAACGTTATCACTAAAGGCTACAGTTAGATATTGTTTTCAAACCGCTAACGCTAATCTATAAAGTTGATGCCTTTTCAAACCGCTAACGCTAATCTCTGAGGTTGATGCTAGAGGGGGCTAAAAATAGCTTCGGCCTTCACTCAAGAATGTAGTGCTAAAGATCATCAAAGCATCTTACAATAATAACTGAGTACAAATCCAACACGGAAGTACAAGTAATAAAGGCAAGATAAAACTAGTCCTAGTTTGCTCTAGGGGTGGCCCACTCAACGTGGAGAATGAGATTATCATACCCATAGCCATGGAGTTTGTTGATAGCCCTCTGCGCATCTTCTTTGTTGACAAAATTGACAAACCCAAACCCTCTGCTCATGCCTGTCTTCTGGTCAATGGCGACATAAACTCTTGTCACCGCACCGAATGGCCTGAAAAGCTCCATCAAGTCGGGCTCCCTTGTGTCCTCCGAGAGGTTGGTCACACGGACCGAGTTCTCATCATTCCTGCGCCTCATATCTGATCCAGCAGCTCTATTTGCCCCATCTCTCAACCCCGGTGGAACATAAGTTCCTTTGGTGGGACCGGCTCCTATGCCAGGAGCATCAGAAGTTGGTGGCTTTTCAAGAAAGGTGTCTGGTTGGGGAACTAGATCCTTGTAGGGGCACTTAGATGTCCAGTGATCGCCTTTCTTGCCACAAGCACGGCAAACCATGAGGACAGCACCTGGTTTGTTAAGGGCAGCCAATGCATCCGCTGCCTTTGCCTCTTCTGCTGCTTTGGAGCCTGTTGTTGTTAGATTCAGTGGGATATGACCCCATTTGTTAGTTGAAATCAAGATGCTATCATACAATCCAAGTCCATATACATACATGTAACTCATTCTAGAGTGAAAGAGGGAAGTATATGCATGTACAGAATGAAAACAGATGCTATTTCAATCAATGCAGGAAACATAAACTAATACCAACAATACATGATACTAGTACTCTGTAATTGAGAGCACTCAGAAGGGCTCGTAGAAAGTGTTATATTGCGTCGGAGGAACTTTTTTTTCATGTTATGTGTCGTTTCATACCATGATAGTATCTACTATGGTACTCTGTAATATCTTCACCCCTTTTTTAAGACCAAATGCATAATTAATAGGCTTATTCATTGATAGTTTATAATTACTCCATCCACCACTAAAATTTTACCCGACCTTGACTTGACAGGCTTGTTACGAAAATGAAATAGTGAGGATTTGGTCTTGTGGAGTATTTAGAAACCATGCAAGCCACAAAAACCTTTCCATAAAAAGCCACACTAATATTTCGTTAAAAATTAGTACATCTAAAAAAGGAGAATGGGGAGGAGGAAGTATATGTTTGTGTTTGTAGGAAGGGGTTATTGCTGCAAAGTTAGGATTTTTTTGAAGTCACACCTATTACGAACTAACAGTTTTGTGCAACATTTTTTGGAAGTCACACTTTTTGAAGGGAGCATACATTAATACTGGTAATTTTGTGCAACTCACAGTTTAACAGCACGATTAACAGCGGCAGCTAAAAAAATCCAGGAAATACTGACTGGAAGAGCGAAAATGCATGAGTAAATTGAAAGATCTTCTCATGATATGTTACGAGGCTTGACTGACTTTATTTTTTATTTAATTTATTTGATTGTAGGGGTAAATTTAAAAATAAAATTTACATAGTAAAAAAGTACATGAAAAATTCTACAAAACTAGAAGTGACAAAACTATACTCCGTTTTATTTTATGAAATGAGTACTAAAAATAAGTAACAAAGTGAATTAAGTTTGACTCTATGAATAGTGTTTGAGAAGAGGGGGGCATAGGGAGTATGAAATATCAACTGTAGCCCACAAATGTGTAATTATATCTAGTTAAATTTAAATACTCTAGATAACAAACAAAACAACTTAGTCAACACCAACCTATAAATTTGACAAATTACTACAAAGAATTTCCGGGTTCTTACATCTGCTATCCAAGATTTTCCTTGCAAATTTTGATGAACCTAACTCATTTATTAAGAAAAGTGTCAATTTACTAATTCAATTACATACACTAAGTGGTGTTTCTATGTGTGTATAAGCAGATTAAAACTGCTTATAAATTATTTTAACTTATAAGCTAGTTGATGACGTACACCTATGTACTTATAAGCTGCTTATAAGTATAAAAAGTAAGTCTTACCTATTTATTTTTAAGCCAGTTTTCTTTGTTTCTCTGTTTTGACTTACATTATTTACAAATCTATCTTCATCATTTATGAATATCCAAAATGAGTTATCTATCATTTAAGTCATTTTACTTCCATGAAAGAACACATAACTTATAAGAGCATCACTGCTACATCATCTACTTCTAGTGTGACATCCCTTGACTTGACACGCTTGTTACAAAAATGAAACAGTGTGGTTGTGGTCTAGTGGAGTATTTAGAAACCATCCAAACCAAAAAAAACTTTCCTTGAAAAGCTACACTAATATTTCATTAAAAATCAATACATCCAAAAAAGGAGAATGAGGAGGAGGAAGTATATGTTACTATCAATAGGAAGGGGTTCTTACTGCAAAGCTGTGATTTCTTTGAAGTCACACTTATTACGAACTGAAGGGAGCATACACTTATACTGGTCATTATGTGCAATCTCACAGTTTAACAGCAAGATTAACCGAGCGGCAGCTAAAAATCCAAGAAGGACTGACTGGAAGAACAAAAATGCATGACTAAACTGAAAGAAATTATTGGTACATGCTACACGGGATCATGACTGAAGAAAACTATAGCCTTGGCATAACAAAAATTACAGTCAAGCTCTAAAATCCTGAATCTTGATGGTAGTACATGCATATATATCAGTTCATATTAAACTAAGTTTGAAGTCTAGATGGTGAAATTGGTGAACAAATAAGTCTTTTTTTAAAATCGAGGGTTCGGATTCTTTTTCTAGAATTACCTAATGTGAATTATGATTATCAAATTGATATCTAGGTTAGTCAAATTCAATCATAAGCAACAATAAAACTCTACAAAACACAAGCGTGAAAACAAATCCACACAAAAGCACGAATCTGGGAAATGAAGTTATAAAAAATAAAAAATAAAACGAAAGATTACCAGGGGCTCTGTGCCTCTCGATCAAAATCTCTTCTGTGGAGACCATGGTGAGATTGCTTCCGACGTCCTCACGCACGGCATCGCCGAACTTGGGCCATGACCGGCGCTCGATCGCCCGTTTACTGAGGCGAGCCTTGGCGAGCTTCCGTACTCGGGTCGTGGTGGTGACCTTCACCTTATTCCCGTCCTCGTCGAACTTGTACTCAACGATTTTCTTAATTCCGTTCTCATCTGGGCCAAATACCTGCTTCGGAGGGAGGAGGAAGTCCAGATCCTCCGCGTCGTCCTCCAGCTCTCCCCATCGGAGCTTGCTCGCCGGCTTTGAAGCGGAACCGGGTCGATCTGACGTCATCAGGTTCAGCTGTTATGCGGAAATGGAAGCAGGTCCATCTAGAGCTAAGAGTTGCTCCGTTTAACTTAATACTACCGATGGGCTTAACTGGCCCAATATACCTGTCCAGAATAATGTGGGCTTAAGCCAATTGGGCTCAGGACGATGTTAGACATAATTGCAGTGGGTTCTTCCAACTTTGGTGTCATTGGATACAACTTTTGTAGAGGCCTGTATATACCGATTTTCTATAAGCTCAATTCTGAATTAATGACATTATTGGGCTTGTTTGGTTTGCTCCCACATTTCCACGTGCCTATTTGATACTCCCTGAGTAATAAGTACGTCTTCCATTAAGTGTGATCATTATAACTTTTTAGATTCCTCCAAAGACTTGTGATTTCATGCACTCAAAAACTACACCTAATTTTAGGATCTTCTCACATAAGTTGTTGAGTTTAAAAATTAATCTGCCCAAAGCCCATTTCACCCAAGCTTATTCTAATCTTACTCATAATCATAATCTTAATACCAAGAAGTTCATATCAACAACAAGCTAAGGTTCATACAATTGTGATAGATCTCAGGATCATGAAGTATTTGCTTCTTTGAAAAGTGAATTAATGTATACATAAAATATATCCATTTTATTTTATATCTAATGTATTTAAACAGTTATAATTATGGTAAAAGAATATGGAAAGAAAGGAGTGTGTAGATATAAAAATATGATACTTAAACATCATGTCTTCAAAAGAAAATTTTACATTATTTGAATGTCTAAAAATAAACTTTTTTACTTCCCAACTTTCTCTTTTGGAAAATAAATCTATGGGCAATGGTGTTGATGAGGTTGGGACTGAGATCTTGAAAGACAAATGAAGAAGGCCACGAGCAAGAGGATGCTATGGAATTTGGAGAGCTCGTAATGGGTATATCTTTACACCAAAAAAATCAAGGAAGAGGAAAACGCAATTTTTTTATTTAATTTCACTTTCATAGTTACTCTGTATATAAGAGTAGAATAGCTTAATTAAGTTGTTGATGTCGTGATGAAAGGCTTGTTTATTTGAGATAGACTTGTACTGTTATTTGATGGAATGAAATTTAGCCCAACAACTATGGTGGTACGAAGAACTTGTAAATAAGAAGAATATAAATGACTCTCGTATGCTTGTATTAACTTGATTCAGCTTGTGTTACAATGAGGAATTTGCCTCCTATAGCCTAACGCCACTACATACATGGTATGTAATTCGTGCGCTACATTATTGGGTTGATTGACTATCGTCCGTCAATTGTGACCAATTCCTCAATCCCACGATCAAAGGGATTGCTTTCTCCTTTTACTTGGTGACCAATCCTGTCTTCACGGGTTGGGCTTGACCCATTGCCTCGCCCAACCTTTAGATTTGATCCACCTTCACAGTCCAGCTCTGGGCTTTACTCCTGTTGGGCTCTGAAAACATACTCGGACTTTTTCGGATACATTTCATGGACCTGATATCCTTCAGTATAAAAAGTATGCTTTCGGTTAAAAAACAAGGCATCTCTATTTTCATCTCCTTTACAAAAATTTACACACTTTTTACTAACTTTTCAATGTTTTTTTAATGACCTCATTTTTTTAATATGATCTGAATTTTCCTATTATACTTGTTGAACACACTTCTTACCAACAATATAATGGCCAAACCTTACATTATTAATTACACAATATTCAATCCTTAAATTCTCGATAACACAGTCTTTTAGGAGTTATTCAACCAAAGGGCTACTCATTATATTCTTCGTTGATGTATTGTTTGTAGATGTTTTTTGAAGAACTTCAACTTTAGATTAGACTCATTAAGTTTCTAAATGTATTACTTCGTGAATTTATAGAATAAATTTTTTCCCTATTTTATTCTAATCTCTATTATAGACTCATTATTTTTGTCCTATTTTATTTTAATCTCTATCTTGCTTTTTCATATCATATTTGGTCATATTTTATTACTACGTATATTTCTTTAGTGGATGAATTCAATTATACATTCAAAATTTATAGTTAATTATTTAGTTTTACAAAAGTAGATAATTAATTATAACAACAAAAATAAAAAAATCCAATTTAAATTAGGACTCCACTATTTGAAATGTCTGATCTGGGTCCGGCACTGCTAGCACGGAGTAAAATTTTATACTTGAAAAAAAAATAATGGAGTTTTAAATGAATTTAAAATACATTTAGCTTGAAGGATTATTAAAAATAAGAATTTACTTAAATAACACTATAACATAATTACTTTCTCTAAATAACATCACATGTGTTTTTTCCCAATTTAGCATTTTTAGTCATTATCTATTAGTCAGTATTCAAATAAATATTTGTTATCACTAGATATTATGGAAATTATTAAGTGTTAGTTAGAAAAAAAGTTTAAATATTATTTAGCAAAATAACTTAAGTTTTAGTGTTACGGGCAAATATTTCTATTAAAAATGCATGGTGGAGATAATGATAAAACGTCCAAAATTAAGAACAAAAACATTCCTAGGATTGGGTAAAGTGAGAGCACTAACCTAAATGGTTTTGTTTCTCTAGGCCTTAAGTGAAGTGAGAGGGTTGTGTCTTTTTGGAATAGAAACATCATTATATACTTCCTCCCTTTCTTAAAATTCTTTCTCTTTTATATTTTTGTTTTCCTTAAAACACTTACTTTTTCTATTAAAACCACTTTTACTCTTAGTTTTTCATACCCTACCTATTACATCATTTTTTTTACTAATAACTAAGCTATCACATCTTACTTTTACCAATCATATCAGGAGCAAAATTGGAAAGTCAACTAAAATTATACTTTCCTTATTTTGTCGCAAAGTCAAAACAAGAACCGTTTTAAGAAATGGAGGGAGTATATTTATATATGTTCTTCTTTCTTTCTTCTTCCCCATCTAATCTAAATTATCTAATCCCCATGCAATCCCTCTTTCGAAATAATAAAGGAGTCTGTCAAAAAAAAGGTAAAGTGCATGATTGACCATACCACCAATAAAAAAAGGTATATACTCCGTAAATGATTAACATTAATTAAAAAAAACTAACAAAAGAGAGTATTAAGAATCACATCATATACTCCACTAATGTGGAGTATTAGTGGAGTATCAGTGGGTCAATCGAAAAAAGGATTGACCCATTTCTCTACTAATACGGATTACGGAGTATCAGTTTTAAATGATTTAATTTTTAGTGGCTGATTCTTAGATCTTAGCTTGATATAGATATAGAAGCAACAATTGAGATCATCACTTTTCCATAATGTTAACCCGAGCCATAACTTTGATCACAAGTTCTTTGATAAAATTTTTAACCAGATAATCAGTTTTCCATAATGTTAACCCGAGCCATAACTTTGATCACAAGTTCTTTGATAACTTTATTAACCAGATAATCACTTTTCCATAATGTTAACCAGAATTCAATTGTTTTATCGAAACATAATACTATATATTTTTTGCATATCGAGTTCAAAATTTATAAACTAGAATCAAGGAGTCAAATGCGAAAAATTAAATCCAATGGAAGAGGTAAAAAAAATAAAAATTAAATCAAGCAATTAAAATATGATTAGACAATAGGAAAAATATCATGCATGAGCCTTAGCTTATATTTCTTTTTAAAAAAATAAATAATAAGTAATGTGTGAAGTTTAATTTGTTTAGGGCGAAAAAAACAAATTATATAAAAAAGAATTGTTAGGACATGCTATATTGCATTGTCTCAACGAGTTGTCAGTGAAATTAGAAAGAATCACCCATGATGTCCCATGCGATTATGTAGTCACAGCTACAAAGAAAAAGCAAAAGTTGTTCTTATCAGGGTGGGGCGTGACTAGTTTTTTTTGTCGGAAAATGATGTATAGTGTACCCCCATCTATTTAAAGAACAAAAAATTGATGGGTGTAGGAAAAAAAATACAATAGTGTGAATTTATTTTCAAGGAATTATATCTTGTGGGATGTGCACACACATATATGGAGTTATCACATTTGAGAAAATTTAAAAACTTTCTTTAATGGGTCAATAATGAAACAATATACGAACGAAATGAGTAATAAATAAAGTTATCAAAGAACTTTTGATATATATATATATATATATATATATATATATATATATATATATATATATATATATATATATATATATATATATATATATATATATATATATATATATATATATC